TATCATGAAGATCCTTTGCCAAAAACAAGCAAACAAACAAACCCCCAAAACATCAAAAACAGAAACACATTTGTTTAGCTTTCTGTTCAGTTATGCTAATTAGGTCTCTGCTTGCAGTGTGGAGCTCACCTGCAGGAATGGAATATTTGTCTTTCCAGGATTACCTGTAAGTCCGTTCCATGTATTCCTGATAAAGCTCTTGCTTTATACAGTGACATTTCTTACTGGCAGTTGGCAATCCATGTTCAAAAAGGTGCCTGAGGAGTGTTTTGATACCATCACAGGTCCTTCTAGGGGTACACTTCCTACTGAAAGTGGTTTGTAAGAAACGAGCAAGCGGCTAGGCTCAGCTATAATACAATTAATTGATCATCCTAACAAATAAATTAAAAGGACCAAAATATATAAGATCCCCCAAACAATCAAACAAGTAAACAAAATAAGGCCCAAAATAGGATCCAACCTTGAATTTGTATTTCATTATTCCCCCCATGGGGAATTCTATTGGCAGTACTATGCAAATGGAAATAAATATATCAAATTTTATCCCGTTGAAGTCTAGAAGCAATAACCTTTTTAAAATTGCAAAAGTTGCTTTTGTGATCACCTGAAGAATTACCAAGTGTTTCTACACTTCAGCCACAGAGGACTCTCAGCTAATTTCCCCAACACTTTGTTACAAGACCGCTCCTTCCAATGGTTGGCATTGGGTTCCCAATCCCTGGAGAAGAATTCTGCCATGGAGCTGCTCATACAATACTTTTGTATCATTCAGAGTATCTGGGTAGAAAGGCCACTTTCTTCTTTAGCAGAATAGGGAGTGGCTGTAAAGAATTAGTCATTGGAGGCTTGATGCCACAAAGGCAATGAACTTGGGGTGAGTGAAGCTGGGGAAACAGAAACGCATAACACCTGAGAATGTACAAAAGGAGTCCTTATATAACATGAACAGCTTTAAGATCATCTTGCCACTTGTGCTTGGGATGAAGCACACATTTTAAAAGGAAGGGAGATGCACGCTGTCCCATGGCAGTGTTTGCATTTCCTATTGCTTTTCTGTGTGCAGGATTTTAAAAAGAAACATTACTACACACAGGAGGCCGGAGGCGATTGAGCCCATAAAACAGTGCCAGCTTGGAAAGCTGAGAGAAGACTCTGTTTTCCATTATGTGAGTGAGAGATCATTATTTGAAAATCTCTCTCTTTCTTTAAATCCACATCCTCTTGATCTCCAGCTTTCCAGCATATCCATGGTCATTATTCTTTGGGTGTTTTAAAATTATAAACATAGAGGAGCACCAATTGTGGTCCCGCAGTCCTGACTAGCTAAGGGAAAGATTTTGCCGCCTGCATACCATTCACATAGATCAACTATGTCATAAGTCATGTCCTTGCCCGAAAGTTTGCAAGGAGAACCCCAGAAACCATTCTACTGGTTTGAACTCTCTGGTTCTCAAAGAAAGCAAAGGTTTGATGTACAGAATGATTTCATCAAGGACTTCACTAAGTGGCAGTGGAACAGAGAAACAAATCTGTCTCCATGTGGTTACAAAAAAGAATTATTTAGTTGCAATCTGGTGCATCGCCGTGGCTGCTTTTGAAAAGTGAAAAATGTAAAAGTGTATAAAGAGAAATATATCTACTTTTCTGTCTTTCAGATAAAAGAGGAAAGGCTATTTATTAGTCGAGACAGTTTTGTACCTTTATCTGCTTTCTCATAAATTAAAATGCCCACGATAAGTTTGTTTAAATTACAAATGTAAATACTCACGAAGAACACATTTATGATGGGAAACCTGGGTTGTTTTTAAATTTTGCTGATATAGGGTGTCTAGGATCATTAGTGGTTAGGGGATTGGCATAAAGGAAGTACCAATTACTGGTTAATCTCTGTAATTAGAAATCCTCTGTCCTACATCTTTACCTATCTGAAAGTGGACTTTGTAAGCCTACTCAGATGCTAGAGACACTCAGGGCTCTGAAAGCCACAATCACTGTGAATTCTGCCTGCAGAGAAATGAGATTTAAAAGCTTTCCCATAACTCTTACACTTCTAATAGCTCTCATTGTTTAGTTCATGATTACTGAGGGCAGATAACTTCACATTTACAATCCTAATAGAACTTGAGTTTTCAAAGAACTCATCTTTGCTGAATTTACAAGTAAAATCCATTTCTTTAAAATAGCCCCTTTAAAGGCTATTTAATCAGTCCTACTTGGGCCACCCACTATTTTGAAAATTACAGAAATAGTCTAGTTTTCAGCAAAGGGACATGGTAAATGGAGAAACCAATTACTCTGACCATTCCCATCGTAGATGTGTAGCAATCAGAATGACACCAGAGAGTATTCATGGTGGATGAAAAGCCCCAGATTGCCGAGGGAGGGACTCATCCTCTTGCTGGGGAAGTGATGACTGCAGGTTGGTGGGCGTATGGCTGTTTGGACCGGGGCTGCATGCTCTGCTGGGGAGGACAGGCAAGCTGCTTTGAGGTTCCCAACAGTTTGTTAAAGAAACCACGTTTCAGGATTGTTTTCTCACAATATGCCCCTCCTTTAAAATGTGTGTTGTTGTGTGTGCACTCACGCGTGTGTCTACACAATGGCCGCCATCTTTCCATAGGACTAATCTACTAGCTATAGCTAGAAGAGTTAAAGTGTATTCTGGTCCCTGGCTCTTCCCTTCTCTCTGCTTCCTGGCTGCTATGGTTGAGCACATTTTCTTCCCTTTGCCCTGCAGCCTGTCAGTAACACAGATGTGGCATCTCCTAGAGAAGTAGTCCAGGAAGAGGCCAACCTTGTAGCAAAGGCTGGTTGTTGCTCAAGCATTTAGCAACAAACATCATCCAGGCCTCTGAGGACCCTGAAGGACCATTGTTAAATAATCCTCAATCTATTTCTAACTAGTCATTTCTGTGTTTTGTAATATTTGTCCTTGTAGCTGCTCAGCTACTGAATTCTACTCTGATAAGATAACTTTGTCCAAATTTTACCTGGTGCATGTGATGATCACCATGATGGAGATTAAAGATTGCAATCATCTTTCTTCATGAACAGAATATTCACGGCATCTTCACCCTAAAGGAACTCCGATTAAATAATAATAATAATAGCGTGCAATAAGGTAGGGCGAGGGAGTGAATATAAAAAAAGCAAGCCAATATTTATTCGTTAATGCAACAAGTGTTTATTAGGATCCTGGTACTATTCTGGCACTGGGAGTCCTGCCATAATGGAATTTACCAAGATAAAAACGTAAAGAGAGGAGGACAAGGTGCAGGGTCACCTTTTAGGGGAAAAGTCCCTCGAATTAGGCTTTTATATGCAGAAGGTGGGCACCGAGCAGTCACAAATCATGATGCACAGGTCTCAGATGAAGATGTTCTTTCACCTTGAATAGTTTCACATGCAAATGATCAGCAGACTTGAGAGAGTGAGGAGGGCCCGCGGCCCTAGGAGACGATGTCTCGCGAGAGGAAATGAGTGATGAGCAGCTCCGAGGTGCAGTTCCGGATGCAGAGTTCCCCGTCAGAGTGTGTGTGAGAGTATTTTGCACCTCACGGGAATGAATGGCTTTGCTCCCCTGGTTGCCCTCCCAATGACACTCGTCCAAGTTGCTCTTGAGCAACCAGAGCTGTGGTCTGGAGTCGTAGTGACGTCTGCTGTAGACAAATGATGACAGACACCCTGGCCCTTACCGTATCTCTCCCTGCTGCAGGAGAACATCTAATATACAGTTCAAAGGAGGAGCCAATGGACATAGAAGAGGAAAACTAATTTTGTTTTACCAGTTTTCTGGCGAACATTTTCACTGCAATATCGATCTAGTTTTCCATGTTTGTACTGTCTTCTGTGTAGCATTTCTTCTAATTAATTGCTCTCTGAGCATGACTGCTGACTATTAAACAATGCGCCACTTTTGCTGACTTCCCCATGGCCATTTACACTATAACTTTTCCCCTTCTCATCTTCATTTGGCATCCTCATAGGTATTCAAGATCCCAAAGATCTTTCCTGCTTGTGAATGCCAGTTTAAGAAGTTATGAACCTCGAAGGTGAGTGACGTTTACGTCCTGCTACCTTCATTCTGAGATCTTGACAAGAATTGCGTTCAACAACCTGAAATGAATGTCCCCAGGCAATCAGCAGTGCTCTAGGCTTCTGTGAGAGTTGTTAAAGAAACACAGAGTGAAAAGAAGGCTCAGGACCGATACATTTATCACTGATATCTATCAGAGTTTGTAGTTCCTAAGGATGAAGTTCTTTAGCTTTCCAGCATCACTGGCTTTCTGCCACACCTGATCCTCAGATTTAAGGTGTGGGTGAGGAGGGAAGGATTTAATGTTTCTCTTCTCCCAAATGACTGACACTTCTTCCTTTTAGATAAGCTCGACATATTCTCCTTCTAGGTTTTAATCTTCTAATGTATGGGATTTTTGTAGTCAATATCAACTGCTGGGCATCATAATTTCTAATAATTCTCCAGTAGTTGTAATCAGGGCCAGAGTAAAGTGTATTGAACTCCATAACTATTCATTCACAGTTCTGAAATCCAGAAAGTCCAGTAAAATGTGGTGACAAAACCTGACCTGAATTAATGCAAGGTTATTTGTAGTATGGGATTCTCTTATGCAGAATGGCTCTTCATATCTACTGCTGCAGAAATATTAATATGTCTGATTAAGTGTGCTGCCCCAGACTCTACTGTAAGTGTTCCAAAATACGCCATGTATAATTTTCTAAAATATGCAAAAGTATGAATTCTAAATCTTGCACTGAAAGTTCGGGTTAAGAAATTGATGACCTATAGTAAGAAGGTAATGTTTTTTCACTTACCTGCTAGTTTTAAGCCAAAGGCATTAGGTCCAGTTCTAAAGGGTTAATAGAAGCAGCAACCTAGCTTGTCTGTTCTTTCGATGCATAGCAAGTTCTCTGCATAACTGTAAGTGTCCCCACCACTCATCTCTGGCAGTGGTATTAAAAATAAAACAGAGCCCGATTACCAACATATTGCTTTATTTCTTGGTGGTAGTAAATTAAGGCTTTCTAGAGTCATACAGCACAAGTGATTTGAACATTAGAATTCAAAAACAACAACAACAACAATGAGCATTCAATTTAGCAGAGCCAGGAAGGAAGCAATATTTTAAAACAGAGATGTTTCCTAGAGAGGCCTTCTGCTTGGTCTCTAAACATCTGCTGTGCTGTTTCCCCAGTAACCTCTGTTCCAGATTCATACTCCAAGGGAGAGTAGAAAGAAGAGGAGGAGACCAGGAAAAGGGAGAACCTGGGAGGCAGTATGTGTGGGGCAGGCGGCATGAAAAGCTGGCTTCCTCTAATGCTTGGAAGACAGCTTGGGTGATGGGGTCAGGTGCCGGTGACAGTGACGGTCAGTGGCTCAGGAAGTAAAACTCCCTTCTCCTTCTGAGAAGTGAACACCAGCTAATTTCGAAGAGCCCAGTGTCAAAGGTTAGGAACAGTCCTTTGTGACTCTGAAATTCAGAAACTCTGAGCAGGGCCACAGGACACAGAGCAAAATAATGCTACCTTTGACTTTCAAGGTTCGGAACCCTGTGGCTATCACTAAATACCATCCCCAAGCAAACAGTTCACTTTCCCCACGGCACACTCCAGCTGAAGGTGATGGCAGCTGCTCAGGAAGCCACGTTTCCTGGGACATGTGAAAGAAACCTCCTGCACACAGGCTATCTCATCTCTAACTTTTCCTTCCCAACACAACAGTGCACACGCACGGGAGCCTACAGTGGGAGTGCAGTTGTCAAGAAGTGTGTAAGCACAACCTGAAGCACACCTGAAACACATCTAGCACGCTTGCCTCGGGGATGCGCTCGCTCTGGGATTGGATGGGGAACCCTTTGAAAAGGAAACGAATGGGCTGTTCAGCAATGATGAGGGAGAGGTGTGGCTGGAGACTAATTTGGCAACAGCCCTCAACTTACTAACAGAGGACAACAGAACTGCATGGAAACCATCAATGAAATTTCTTCTGGCTACCTGATTTCTCATACATGAGGTCACCAAATTGATTTCTATCCCAACGGGTCCATTTTTCAGTTCCATCCACTTAAAATTCATATTTTGCAATCATTTAAATGTTCTATTCCAAGGGCTTGGTTGGTGGATCAGCATACATCTTATCAATGTGCTGCTTTTTTTGTTGTTGTTGTCTGACACTTCTAGGGGAACAGGAGTTAAGCACCTAGAAGTCTGCTTTGCATTCTCTAAAGGAAGACATGCAGACAGCCAAGGAGGAGACACACAAGGTGAGGATTTGCACAATTAAACACTTACAAATGTAAGCCCAAGAGGCTTCATGTGATGAAGTCTGGTACATAAAGAAATAAATAGATGCAAAGAGTCAAAACACATCTGAATGACAAAAGAACAGAGGAGCTGCAGGACAGCTGTGCCTGATGTGTGCCACATGTGCACTGAGAGGGACGAGCAAAACCTTGGAGGACTGGTATTCTCCTGGGCCTTTCTTCCTGTTTGCAAACACTCCTAAGATGACACTGACTGAGGGATTTGGGCTTCACCACGATGAGGAGGGGACATTCGGTGTTTTGGTAAGGTAATGTGGAGTGTGGGATGCAGCAAGTATCATTTGCAGATTCCACCACATCCAGCTATAGACTCAACCACTAACCAACGTCCAGGCAGCCTTAGAAGGCAGTGCTCAGATGGGAGTGAAGGACGGGAAAGACCCCTTGCCCACTGAAGCTGGCACTGCAGAAACTCTGCAGCCCACTGCCCATTCACAGGAAGACATAGATATTTTTGTTCTCTCTCAAGGTTCGTCTGTTTATTGCTGCCTCTGTTCTGTCAGTTCTAAAGTGACCAGGAATCGAACCCCCAGTGGAATGGCCTCAGATGCCATGCTGGAAGCCGAAGCCCCAGTGAAGCAAAATGCATTGATCAAGGTGGCACAACTAGGGCAGGACTGGGAAAAGCCTGCAGGTCTCCACTTTCACCACGCTGCTTGACATGAGGCACTATTAGAAAAGCTCTGGGATGCTCTTTTTAGCATATGCAGGGTGCTGTGAAAGATTTAACGCAGTTTGCCCGGGTGAGGGATTGAGGAATGGGGCTCAGGCCAATCCAGCATCTTGCTGAGCAGCTCTGGAGAGCGTGACCATTCGAATACCTTTTGCTGTTCTGCAGGTGGAGTGAGGGGGTGCTGCCACTGTGCAGGAGGGTGTGTGTGTGTGTTTGTGTGTGTGTGTGGGCGCGCGCGCGTGCGCGAAAGGAAAGTGGGGCATAAGACACCACAATCAGCCTGCTGAGAAGGGCAACTGTCTACAAACGACCAGACCCCAAACACAGTTTGCTGTAATGGGAAAGTGTCCCCTCCCGCTCCATTACTTTGACCTCGGTTGCCTGTGAAAAATGAGGAAAAATAAAAGCCAGATTCCTAAGAGCCTTTCCGGAAGAAATGGCTGCTGAGAGTGGGTGTCGGCGCTTTCTTTACAGAACATTCTGTCCGGTTCATGTTTGTTCAGCGGAAGCTGCGCGGTCCCCTCAGAAGAAGGCAGGATTGGTGTGCTCGATGACGCAGCGCTTGCAGTGTCGTTTCACGAACCGCAGCGCCTCCACAGACACTTCGCAGTCCTGCACGTTTAGCATCTGCAGGTCAAAGCAGTTGGCCGCCACGATCTGCAAGCCCTGGCCTGTGATGCTCTCGCAAGATTTCAGGCTCAGCCGCTTGAGGTTGAAGCAGTTCAGAGCCAGGCACTCCAGGCCCGTGTCGGAGACCAGCGGGCACTTGCCGATGTCCAGAGACTTGAGCTTCGCGCAGTTCTTGGCGAGGTACTCAACGCCGTGGTCCGTGATGCCCTCGCAGCCCCTCGCGTTGAGGTAGCGCAGCTTGCTGCAGTACTTGGCGATGTAGCGGATGCCCACGTCGGTGACGCGACCACAGTGCGCGATGCTGAGGTACCGCAGGCGCGACTCCAGCTTGGCGATCTCCCGCAGGCCGAAGTCGCTGACGAAGCGGCAGTCGCTGACGCTCAGCTCCTTGATAGACGTGCAGTAGATGACCAGGTAGCGCAGGCCCTCGTCCGTGAGGCGCACGCAGCGCCGTAGGTACAGGTGTGTGAGCTGCGTGCAGTGCGCCGCGATGGTGTGCAGGCCTTCATCCTCCAGCACGAAGCAGTCCGTCATGTCCAGGTAGCGGATGGAAATCTGTTTGCCATGCAAGGGGGACAGTTTAATGGAGGCCTCGCGGGTCAGGCTGATGCAGGTCACTTTGGAACAGCCTACACAGAGAGACAGAACACATGCTCAGAGCAGCCCGGGCACAGCGAGAGGGCCAGCGGGATGCCAGCAGTGCCTAACCCTCCCCGGGCCCTCTTTGTCTCCATCCCTACGGGGAAAGGCGCAAGGAAGGATTCCCCACGCTCATGTGATTTGGGGGCTATTTTTGATGACTTGTGCTTAAGGGAATCCACTGACTTCAGAATCTGAGAGACCAGGCTGATTCTGGATGCGAATCGATCAAGTTTAATTACTAATCCGTCACCAACTGGCCGACATGGGGCAAACCCGTCTTGCCACTTCCTTTGTCCTCACACAGGGACATCACATTTGCTCCAGGGCAGCTACGAAGATGTGAGGAAATGTTCCTTACATGAGCGGTTACTCTGCTGTGTCCCTGGAAGGACCCGGGAGCTCGGCCAAGGCTGTACCGCACTCTGGCAAGCTCTCGGGTCCGAAGGACTGAGCTGGGGCAAAGTTTGAAGATGACCTTGGCTTGGTAGAAAGAAGCACTGGGTTCACAACTCACACTTGGGGCCGTTTTATTCCTCATCACACAGGCAGGAGGCTTAACTTCTGCATCTTAGGACTGAGGCAGAAGAGCTGCCAATCTGACACTCAAAGAGCACAGCGCGTATTCTGTGCAGTCACAGGTATGACTGCGCTGGCTGAGGTGTCTCTACACTGAAACATTCTTATGTGCTGTCTGCTTCATTTGCAACATTTTTACTTTCACTAGTGCATGTTCACAGTATGTAGTGATTACACTCATCCCAGGGAGTGGGTGCATAAACACCTTTTATTGTACTGATGTATGAAGTTTACAAAGTATTTTCATGATTTTTTTTATTGACCGATTCTTAAAACGATCCATTTTACAGACAAACATGCTAATGCTGGGGAAGAGTATCTTTAGATGACTCTCTAAATGTTGTTTCTAAACACTTAAAATTGGATGTGAGCAAGCTGGTTGTAGCAGCACACCCCTTCAATCCCAGCCCTCTGGGAGGCTGAGGCAGGAAAACTGCAGGTTCAAGGCCAATCTGAGCAACTTAGTAACACTGAATCTCAAAATAAAAAAATATAAAACGTTGGTGATATAGCTCATTGCAAAGGTCCTGCCTTCAGTCTCCTGTACCAACAAGAAAGAAAACACACACACAGTTTGTGTAAAAATAATATGATACACAAACATGGAATATAATTATATACTTACATAATATATAAAGCATTTATTGTATATTTCAGTTCAGTAAATATTACCTTAGGAACTATAGAGTACATGTATAGTATGTAAATAATAAATGTCTATAGTTCATATTATTATATGTGCACTTCATTTCCCTGCATGGACTGCACCTATGCATTTCTCACATTTTGCCTGTGCCTCTCAGATCCCTCTGGCAGTTCTCCCACTGCCAGGAGCCTCCCCTCTGACCTCCACACCTCAGCCGTTCAGTGCAGTGCCCAAGGCCTCTGAGCAGCTCCACACCAGTGCTCCTGGGAACTCTCTTCCCACCTGCTGGCCAGCAGCTCAGGGAGTTTGTGGAACCAGTGAGCTAAAGCCCTGGCCCTCAGGGAGCTTTTATAAAACCCAGCTTCTGGGGATAAAAGGCTTCGGTGTCACATGCCACCCAGTTAAGAACATCCGGATGGAGTGACACAGACAGACCCACACTGGACAAGCAAGATGCAGCTGGCAGAGGCTGCCTGTGCTGCTCAGTGGGCTTCGTGGTTTGCTGAAGGCTCATCAATGCCCAACAATCTTAGCCCTGAGATCTCCCTATGCTTTGAGTTCTTTCTGACTGGCTGCCATACTGTTCACACGGAATTTTATTTGTCCACCTGTGATGCATGTGAAGGCACTTTATTTTTCCAGATTTTGTGATCAATCTATTCCTACCCTTTTGCTTCTAGGTTCCTTTGTTTTTTCATATGTCTAGCAAAATATTTTGCACTCCAGTGTACAATATTTAGTTTATGGAAATATATACTATATTTTAAAAAATGGCTTTAAATTTAATAAGCAATTACTTTGGTGCAGTTTTAGTAAGCTGTTTTGATGTGCTGGCATCATTTCAGATCAATCAATCATTTTAATATTAGGGTCAGCCCTAATTCTCAATTTGCTAATTTTGAACTAAAAAGAAAATAAATTGATTCATGGCTCGGTAGATAATGTTAATGAGTCGTTCATATATCACAGACATGGAAAAACCCTTAGAAATCATTCAATTCAATCTTCATTTAAAGAAAGTATAGGCATCTCAGGCTCAGTAAAAGTATGTGACTTTTATACTCAGATTAGGGAAAGTCTTGTTCACTCTTTCATGAGGTTGAGGATAGAAACCAGGGCCTTCAGGATGCTAAGCTACCACTGAAATACATCTCCAGTGAGGGTAATTTTTTTGACAGGGAATTCAAAGCTTCATTTATCACAGAGAGTTAAGAAGGACTTGGATGTACCTAGAATCGATGGGTCACACAAGAGATGCACAGCAGATCATCAGCAGGAGACAAGCATTCAGGCACTTGGCATTCGGAAGGCTCAGGAATGGTTACCTCTAAGGGGACGTTAGAGAGAGAGAGAGTAGTTTGGAAAGAAACATATGGAGCTATGACAGTAAAACAAAGCAAGGCAGATCTGAGAGACAAGAAAGCATGGAGAGTCCATGGAGGAGAGAGGTAGAACTTGGGTGACAAGACTCCTAAGTGAGGAGGATGGAATGGTAACTAAGATGGGGCAAATCTGACAGGATCGCATCACTAAAGTTTGTATGTTATTCTGCAGGGAATGAGCAACACGGGTTGAAATAAAACATCTGGGAATTCTTCAAAACATTCCAGATTCCACTCAACTTTCACAAATTTGATCCTCATTCCTATTTCCTCTCTGTATTGGGGTAACATCTCTGCTTTCTTTGGGATGTGTGATGGCCCAGCCAGCAAAGACCAGCCACCGACTTCTAGAGATGTGAGTAAGAAGGAACGCACAGCAAGGATGACAGCAGCCGTGATTTATGAGCGCTCGCTGCGTGGGTCTCAGGGAGCCTGCATGCGAAGACTTAGCAGGATCAACTTGCTCCCTCCTCCCATCTCCATTTGTATAGACGAGGAAACTTCAGCTGCTTCCTAAATGGTTTAGAGGTTTAATCGATGGGAACTTTGAGTCATTTAGGGGTAAAGATGAACATTTAGGTCTGTGACACTCCTCTGTTCACGTCCTTACAATGCCATAAATTACAAAGATAAAAATGCCTCACTTCTGCCCATATAAAGCTCAGAATGAATCCAAAGGAAGGGAGCTGGAAATGTCAAGTGTACACAGGAAAAGGATGAGTGAGGCCTGGGGAAGGGCTCCTCACTTAGGAGTCTTGTATGCTGTAGTGAGGGACTTTTTGCTGTAAGTCATGCGGAACAGTTAGAGACTTTGGGTAGGAAACTAAAGATTGGCCTGGTAATTTGAAAAATTTCTACCCTTGGTTGTATGGAGGGGCTGTGATGGGTGAAGGGTACCTCTGGGCAGGCAGTTTAGAGGAGAGGGGATGGACTCAAGGCCCTGGAATAATGGGATCAACTGGACAGGAGTCTGCTGGTTGGATAAATAAGATAGGGGAGAGAGAAATAAAAGGTGATGGCCATTGAAGAGGATCTCCTGGAGAGGATCCATTTGAAACAATTTTATTTGCAATAATTTTAACAGTTCATATTTTGAAAACTGATTGTTTTAATAATATATTCCATTGATGTTTAAAGATGATAATAAAATACTATCTGTGATGATGATAAAATATTACAGCTAGCAGTAGTAATATTCAAAGACTTGAAAAGGTAACTTTTCTGTGGCTCCAAGAAATGCAATTTTATTATGTTACAGTTTTAGAAGTCAGGAGGCTGAAACAAGTCTCAGGCAAAAGTGAAGAGACCAGCAGAGCTGAGAATCTGTCCTTGCCTGTTCTAGCTTGTAGAGGAGGCCACCTGTGTTCCTTAGCTCATGATCCATTCCTCCATCTTTAAAACACATCTTTCCACCCTCTGTATTCTCATTTTTGTATCTCCCTTCTCTCCTCACTCTCTTGCTTCCTTCTTTGAAAGATCCCATATTTCCAATAGGTCTAGCTAATCGAGTATAACCCATCCATCTCAAGGCACTTAACTTATTCCCACTTACAAAGTTCCTCTTACCAGCAGTTAGACACGGACATCTTTAGAGGACAATTATTCTGCCCATCTCAGAGTTAACAAATACATTTATGGAGGAAAACACCCCAAACTATTTTTGTACCATAATTATAACTTTTGGAGGACTTTTTCCTCGACCTTGTTGAATTATCTTGCTTTCTCCCCTCACTCTTTTCTTCTTCCAACTCTTTTAATGCAATAAATAAAGTTTTGCTATGTGCCAGGGACCACACTAAGTGCTGAGGACAAGGGATTATCACGTCTTCTGTACTGCAGAAAAACAAGCAGAATTAGAGGGTACTGACAAAGAACCAGAGATCAAGATGGCAACTCTTGGCTTCTAGGAAAAGATAACTTTCAACAGGGGCATTTTCTGCCTAAGGATGGGGAGGTGGTCACACATCCTCTAGAGATTTAAACTCTAAACTAGTGATGAGTATTATATCAAGTCCATCACTCTTGAGAATGAAGTCATTATGGGAGGCCACCTGTGAAAACCAAGGAGAACAGACCATGGGGAAGTGATGCTTGGCTGCCCTCTGGCTTCTCTTTCTGTAACTTCACAACCATTTTCAAATTTCCTTCAGGACTGGAGGGGACTGGTAGGGAAGCGGATAGTAAATCCAACCTTATGGGCTGCTGAGTCTCTCAGGTTCCTCTACCTAAAAATCTCTTCCAAACCTGGGATTCTGTGTATTTTAACTTGGTAACTTGGTTGCTCTCATTTTATTCTTTGTGTCCAGAGATCATTGTGTCTCCTTACACTGAGAAATATGCAAAGGCATTTCACAAATGTAATCCATCAGTCAGGTCGAGTTGATGTAGAAGAGAGATATCAAGGGGTGGAGCATGGATCACTGAGGCCAGAAACCCAAGAATTTCTATTCTCAAATACCCAAAGCAGTTTTAGCATTTCTGAATTTCAAAAATGACCCTATGAGAGAGAGCATGATAGCTTGCAGTCTGAGTGAAGAAGGCATGGGAAGCCCCTTTAACAAAGAGGAGGATTCCAAAATGATTCATTTTGAAACTGAGAAAATAAATGAAGTGTTTATAAAATGCTCAACTTGAATATTAAAGAACACTGCTGTACATTTTTTTTTAATTATAGAGAAAACATACCTAGAGAAAGCTGTGAGCAGTCCCAAGCCACAAAGTTTTGTAACTAGTTTCCACCACATAACAATGCTTTCTCTTTCCATAATTCCTTGGGGGAAGAAATGTAAGAAAGCCTTGCCGTTTCCTGCTTCTTTATGCCAACGGCTGCTCATGACTAAGTGAACATACAGTTACTATGGTTTTGTCCTGAAGCCAGCTGAAGGAGAGAAACAGCAAGCCACTTTCCAGCCAGGGAAAGAATCTGCAAGCAATAATGGACTGTCATCTGAAATATTTTCAGATGTCGGCTTTCAAAAGAGAGAGCAAGCTAAGAGCCGGATTTACCTCAGATTTTGTTGGAGGGCATCATTTACCTCAGAGGCTTGTAAAGCTCAAAGTCTGTATATTTGCCCGGCATAGTGCTTTTTAGTTCCTGACTGCTCCCCAACAGTCCCTAAGGTTATGGCTCACGCTGTTCGCTTTAACTCCCTGGTGCCTGTCATACATTTCAGCCTCTCCAACGCTCCAATGCCTTTCGACTTTGCAGTGGATGAGATAAAGAAAGACCATTTGTCAGATCTGATCCCTATCTGGTGCCAGAGTTTGACTTTGGCCTTTAATTCTTCCTGCCTGTGAGAAGTTTTCAAGTGAAGCAGCCATGCTGCCTGAAGTTTGTGTCCATTTTTAAAAGGACTGTAGGTTTGATTCAGAGCTCCTTATCCTTATGGAATTGAGCGTTTCGTTTAGGAAATGCTCTAGAGTTAACCCATAGGTGGGAAGAGAGGGGCTGAAATACAAGGAGCTATTTCCCCGGTGGGTTTCCCAGGGTGTGTGACATGAATGGTAAGCCATCTTGATCACACACGCTTCTGGGTGATTCGTGTCCACAGGGGACATGGTCAGGTGCACAGCACCGGTAGGGTTGCTGCCGTGGCTGGGGTGTAGCTTTCAGGTTCTGTGGGCAAAAGGTAGCTGATAACTGTGTTTGAAGTGGCCATCTGGTTCCTATTTATCTAAATTAGATATTTGGTCTCCATTATCTATGGATACTCTGAAACAACTGTGTGCAGGATGGAGAGCATGGGCGCATTTACGTCTTACCAATCTGAGCAACCAGGTGCTCAGGCTGGCGCTGGTGCTAGGTGCCAGGTGAACGCCTCTATGAACTCTATATTATTCCATAAAAGGGACAGTGCTGGCCTCCACGGTCCTGCTTACATGAAGGCGGTTTCTCTGCAAGTGCCCATCTCCAGGAGTCCCCGGGAAGGGTCCCTGCCGGGGCGGCACTGTCTGGACCCTTCTGGGATAATGAATTGGGTAAGCCCACGCCAGGAGGCCAGTTTCCGTTTACCTGACACGTCCAGGTGCTCCAGGTTGGGGCAGAGGGACACCACGTCGAAGACGGCCTCGTTGGAGATGTTGTAGCAGCCGGAGACTTCCAGGCGCCTGAGCTCCGGGCAGCACTGCGCAATGGTGTAGAGCCCTCGGTCTGTGAGCCGCCGGCAGCCACTGGCGATGACGGTTTCCAGCATGAGGCAGACGTTGGGGGTGTCCTGGCAGAGTCTGCGGGTGAGCACCTTGAGGGCGCGGTCCACGTGCACGGTCTCGCCCGTCAGGCGGATAGTCCTCCAGAGGCGCGGGTCCCACGCCAGGTTGTACCAGCGGCGGCACACGCGCGCGCAGCGGCACAGCTGGTTGGTGGGCAGGAAGGAGAAGACGTGCACCATGCAGTGGTCGGGGAGGCGGTCCGTGCTGGCCTGCTCTTTCTGGGGTCTGGAGGCCAGCCGGATGAGCGGGTGTGTGAGGCGGGTCGGGGGCGGGGAGTGGACCATGGCCACCGTCTCCCCGGTGACGGAGGACGAGGAGGTGGACGAGCCCCTTCCATTCTGGAATCCCGGCAGGGTGGGCGGACATATCAAGGCTGGGCTGGGCGTGCTCAGTGTGCGCATGCTCAGGTCGGAGTCTGCAAGGACAGAGAGCAAAGGGTTAAGGGCGAGGGCCTCAGTGGAGCCGCATGAGAGAAGGTGACCCTGGTACAGGGCATCTGTCTCTCTCCGGAGGCAGTGGTGTGCACTCACCCAGAGCGCCGCTCCAGGGTCCGCACCACTGCTGGGCCAGGTGCAATGCACGTTTTCAGATGTGCAGGCCCTGTGGGCCAGGTCTCCACCTCACTGACTCAACCCTACTGAAGTCGTGCGGCTGTTGCGGTATTTCCTTTATAAAAGCGGAGCACGGGGCAGCGGCCCTAGAACCATGGTCTGCTGCTCTCCCGTGCTCGTTAAAGGTGACCCTGGCAGCACAGCTTCAAGTTTCACTGCTCCTCTTCTCGGGAGAACGCTCATACACGAGGTGCACAGACTGACCAAATTGTGTTTTGTTTAGATAGTGGGTGAATTATGTGGCATCTGCTCTGCTCAGAAAGGAATGCGTTTCAAAGGAGAGGGGATCAGTGAGTAGGTGTGGAGACCGCTTGCTTTCGGGCCTCACCTACCTTGGCCCCCTTCTTTGGACAGCTGTTCCCCCAGCGGGGTGGGGGAGCCACTCACCTGCTCCTTAGACCAGCGTTTCAGAGAGCAAATGCAGTCCTCAAATACCTGGCAAAATACTGACTGCCCTGCTTAGGAACAAGCTTCCTTTACATTTCAGTAATGCGAGTCCCACCTTGTTCTTTAAAACCAGAAAGTTCACCTGATGAAGATATGAGTGGCTTTCAAGTTTTGGGGGACTAAGAATTCTTTACAATATCATGAACCAAGCACTCATTTCTCTACTTCTCTCTCCATCTCAATACATGTAAGAGTTTAGTCTTTCTTTATGTACAGTATTACATATATACTCATGGATTTATTTAGGAATACATTTAGTCTCAGTATGTGTATCATTTCATATGAATATATTTGCAAAATCTTTACACACGTGTTTACACACGCATGTGCACACACACTATGTGTATGAGTGAAACAGAGAGAGAAAAAGAGAATTTATCTCCGAACACAATTTTCTTCACCTATAAAATAAGTAATTGGCTAGCTGACTTCTGACTCATTTCCAGCTCTCATTATAGCTTTAATTTAAAAGAAAAAAAATAAAAACAAAACAAACAAAACAAACCCTCGTGTGTTTTCCCACATCTGCTATCTTGACAATTAACATTCACAGTCTGTCTTTCCAGAGAATTTCCAGCAGGAGCATATGAGAAGTTTTGACACCTAAACACCTGTTTTGAAGTTTTCTATTTGACGTTTTCATACAAATTGACTTGTTCTATTACTGTAACTTTTTCTTTTCATTTCTTTCTAACCTAGCACTGAAAACGAAATCCAGGCTTTGTTCACGAAGCTTTTACACACCCCATGTTTGTCTCTTGATATACAGATACCTTTTGGGTCCCCCTGTAAGTACCATGCCCTCTAAGAACATGTTTCTGAGGTTTGTGAGACTTGATTCACTCATCTGGGAACTTCCCAGCCTTTGTTACATAAGCATCTGTGAATTCATCTTTGCCCGGATGCTCATTGCACTATTCTTCTCAAGTCTGCACCCACCCACTTATGCCTCCGCTTCATCATCACGTGACTTTTCAGTTCAGGTTGGGCGTGTCATTTGTGTCGGTCAGCCAATGAGAGGAAAGCCATTTGTGCACCTTGGATTGGCTTGTGAGTCTTATACCACGGCCATCCGAAGATGACTCCCGGCTATCTCTGCTAACAGAATTAGAGCCACGGGGAAGACCGACCTGGCCCAACCTGCAGCTTAGACAGAGGCTCAGCCAGCTTGGGGTACCAGAGCCCCGACAAACCAAAGACACATGAGCAAGAATAACTCTTAAGCCATTGAATTTGAGGGTGATGTATTTCACAGTGCTACTATGAAGACACCTAAGTCTTTTATCACACTAAACACTCTTCTGCGATGTGGGTTCAATGTTTTTCTTTTTGCTATCCTGGCAGCACCCTCATGGTTTATGGTATATAGTAGGTGCACAACAAATAAATTGAATGGAAGCACCTCTGTTGGAAAACAATCCAACTTGGCGTGTATATTTCTATCTCAGGTGGTATAGATATCATATTTTAAATAATTCATAAGCAAAATGCATATTTCTCCCTTTTATAATCAGTGACTATAAATAATAGATCTTGAAGGAAAATCTTAAATATAAAGCAGTTAAGGATTTCAAAACTGCCATTCAAGCTACCATGCCAAACTGCAATATTGTGCAGCTGCTCAGAGAACTGTCAGTGTTTTCCTTAGGCAGGGGGACAACTTTTGGGCTAGGAGGGAGAAGCAATCTGAGGCAGCTGTGGGATCTGAAATCTCTCTTGCCCATCCAGGTTCCATTCATTCGGAAAGAGAAGCCATTCACCAGCACCCTACAGAGACCAGCAAAGAGCCAGGCCCCCGGGGAATGAAATACACTTACCCGTGTGTATGTTTGGCTGCAGGTGAATTTCTACAACCTATGCCTCCCCCTGATTCACATTTCTTCCCTCTTGTGTGCTCCCAGCTTGCATGCTTCCAGCATGGAGGGGCATAGTGCAGATACATCCTGAGCACCGCTGTGCCTCTTGAAATAACTTTGATTCTTTTCTCTCTTTTCGTCATTTGTTGATACCCATACCTGAGGGTAGAAGGGGTCCACACTCAGGGACCCAGCAGCCTCACACAGCCCTGAGGACACTGCCTTGGGGAGCCAGGAGCACCTCAGCAGCTGACTTGTGCTTCCTCCCAGAGCTCAGCAGCAGGATTCTTAGCAGGAACCACAGACCGCTGTTGACTGCTCACAAAGAGGCGAGCCGGGAAGACTTTTGCCAGGTAAACTGGCTGTCTCTGATCAGAACACACAACAGGCTTTGTTGGCTTCCTCCTGCTTTTTCTATATGTCAAGAACCTTCAGAAAACTTTGGAAAGGATACAATTATGGTAATTCAATAAATACCATCTGATAATTAAAAAATAATAAAGAGGTGAACACTTAGAGATACACGTACCTAGAAGTTGTCACATGATATTTTTCACACAATATTTGTTAATATTGGAATGTGTTTATATACTAGGAAGATAGGATGTGGCTTCAATTTCAAGAAAGGACCACGTCCACCTGCTAAATAGTATATGTCATCTGCACCAGAGAAGACCAAGTCCACTCTTTGTACATAGGTTTTCCTCCCCCTGTCCCCTTTTCAAGGACTTTCAGCTAAATGAGTATCAGCATTAGCTGCTGATTTTTCTACAAGATTAGAAACAAGGACCCAAATTCATAAATAGTATAGGGAAGAATTCCACATTGGAAGTTTTGCTGTGAACAGGGAAAAAGGGATTTACAAAAATGCCCAATAAAATGTACATGACCAAAAGCTTCCATCAAAAATCAAATGAGTCACTGCCTGCAACAGGTATCTTTAAATTGTGGTATACACAAAAGGCTCTTGATCATCTTATTAATTTTTCTTGAATTATCAAGAAAGGGAATGCCCAAACTCTTAAGATGTAATCCATCTTCGTAACATATTAAATATCTCCAAAATGTACATGGGAGGTTACCTTTTAAAATCCACCAAGACAACTGTCAAAGACAGTAGTCTTTGAGAAAACTGTTGTGTTTCAAGAATAAGTGGGTAAATTAATAATGGAATCTGTCAAAGGTAAACAATGAGTCCCAATCTTATGTCCCATAAAAGCAATTTGAATGGTTTCTCTAGTGTGAATAAACTATAATAGTACATAAGATCCTAATGAGATGGCTGATAATGTGAAATAGGAAGAAAAGGTTAAAGGTGTAGGGAAAGTGGGAAGGGTAGGGAAAAGGTAATAAGGGAAACGAAAAAAAATATGAGAAAATGAAAATACGGCAATAAAGTGTTTGTAAATGGGTAGGGGAGGAGGGGATGAAGGGAGAGCAGGGACAAGGGGAAAAAATGAGAACCAAGACCACCTGTCATGTAAAGGTACAAGATCCCAATAATGAGTGTAACTGTACTGTATACCAAAAATGTACCAATAAATTCAATAAAAAAAAGCAATTTGGTAAAAAACAGACCACACATATACCCACTAGGTTTTATCACTTAGAGAGGTTGTAGCCGTCTTGGTGTGTATAAGTACATTCTGTGATGTTCTCACAATGATGAACAGAATGTAGCCCTGCCATTTGCTTTAGTAGGGTGAAGAGACGAATCATGGGATCGATAGAGCCACTGTCACCTATAAATAAGTAGGAGCGGAGGAAAGAGAGATGGGAGCAAGGCAAATGCCAAGAGAGCCAAATTTAAGAGTGGAAAGGAGAAATGACCAGTAACTCAAGCAATCGGATGTCTATGTTGTGGTCTGTGCCTTCTACTGACATAAGGATGCTAGATGCAGCAAAAGCATGGAAAAACAACAAAGAACACACTGCTGTCTGCAGAAAGATAAACAGAATGGGCTGCAAGGGACAGTCTAGACAGGGAAGGAAAGGGTAGAGGAAAGGACAGCACTAAAATGTGCTGCTGTAGATTCTTGGATTATAGTATGAGATACAGAAAAGAGAGGATTCCTCCATTCACTGCATGATTTAACACACCTCGTTACTTCTGCCTAGCTGAGATCTAGGCAGGAAGTCACTGTATTTGACTGCATTATAAAGCAAATCCCTCTAACCCATCTCCCTTCTGTGTCACAGTCCCACTAAAGTGTCTCCACGGCACAGACCCTGACATCTCTGATTTCTTGTAACCCCTTGGGGAGAGACAAAAATGACTGCCAGGCAAGCAGCAAATCATACACAACCCAGCATGGTAAAGGGCAGAAAAGTTTTATTTCTGAGTCTAAAAATAAAAGTCAGTTTTCAAAATTCCAAGATGGAGACAATCAATATAGAACCTGCCAGCGGTGGAAAACTTCAATTAAACCATATTTTCAGTATGTGTTTGGATGATCTCAAGATGAATGTAATTTTTGTTTGACATAATGGTGAGCCTTAAG